AAGGGTCTAGGCCCGAAATGTCAGCCTTCCTGCTCCTCTGATGCTGCTTGGCCTGCTGTGTTCATCCAGCTCTACACCTTGTTATCTCAGATTCTCCAGCATCTGCAGTTCCTACTATCTCTGAAACAAATAGAATAGTTTTGTTTTCTACCCCACAATGTCTGTGCAGCAAGTGTTTATGGACCAGATATAAGACTAGCTGCTGAAAGAGTTTAGAACGGATATTTGTCTTACTCCTGTCTTGCCTGTGCTCACTGAATACACTGGACAAAAATCATTCCCAATTTAAAAGGGCGGCCCAGTTGCTTTTTTCAGTCACCCTTTTATATTGTCCATTAACAAATTCCACCTCTGTTATCAAGCTATGAAAAGCAGGACATTGATTTAAACCTGAGATAATCATGTGAAAATCCTGTAGGGACTTTTTTTTCCCCAAAAAATTTTTCCTCTGGCTCTAACTGTGCTCTAATAATGGAAGGTGTCTTACTTTGAGTTATTGAAAAATAAGAATTTTTTTTCTTCAGTTGCTTAAGCTTTATACCATCTCTGGTCTCCTTTAGATTTTTGTACTTATCAAGTCTCTGAAATATGTGAGATCTAAAAGAAGTAATCATTAGCATCCATGTCTGATATGTGCCTATCTGAAACAGCTTCAAATTCCAGCACACTCCCTACCAGAATCACTGTTTAAGGGAGACCTGAAGCTACATCTTCAGGTGTGACATTCTTGTCATATTCTGGTAATGGGGTAATACCACATTTCCTCTGCACAAACTGTATTCCTCCTGCACATATTGTATTCTAGTTTTGGACTTACAAAGTATCTGGCAATGTTGGGCCGGACTGATAGCTACCAGGATCAGGCAACACTGTGACCTCTTTACTTTTTATCTTTATTAACTTTTTTTAAAAATAGGTTGCTTTCTGTATGGATCTCAGTTTACTCTATGCCAATCACATAATCGTCCTCAGGTTCTGAGTTCTAGTTTCTGAGATGACTGCCCACAGGTTTCCAATTGTTAGAGCATCAGGTTGCAATAATTGCATCACTTATGACAGAGATAACATTTTAAGAGTTTATTAGATTTAACATTTGAACAGTATTATCAAAAAGGATACAATATTCCTTCTCAGTTTTTTAGTACACTTCAGTGCCACTTGTCCCCAGTAGAATTTTACCAAAATCAACTCCGTTCTTTGGGCTACTAGAATATCTGTCAGTTATGAGCCAGTTCTTCCTCTGCTAAATGTTTCTTTACCCTATCCACAAACTCATGAAGATCTAACTCCTCCCCCTTGTCTGACCCAACTCCTGATGTTCAGGGTAAAACTTAGATGAATCAGACTAGATATTTTCAATCAAACTGTTTCTCATTCATTCACAGGATGAGGGCATCACTGGCTAGGTCAACATTTATTGCCCATCCCTGAGGGCAGTTAAGAGTCAACCACATTGCTGTTGGTCTGGAGTCACGAGTGGTACAGACGTGCAGTTTCCTTCCCTAAAGGACATTAGTGAGCCAGGTGGGGTTTTCCAATAATTGAATTCAAATTCCACCATCTGCCATGACAAGATTTGAACCGAGTCTCCCAGAGCATTACCTGGGTCTCTGGAATAACAGTCCAGCAATAATATCACTAAGCCATCACTTCCCCGATTAGAGATGTTATAGCGCACCTCTGGAGGAGATCGGACTTTAATCCAGGTCGTCCTGGCTCAGAGGTAAGGACATTGCCACTGTGCCACATGATCTCTAATTAATCAGTCATTTTCGCTGCTATCTCAATGAAATGCTTAACTCTGCACTCTTACTGCACATTTGCACAGTTTGGCACTCTTGTGTTGCAGTGGTAGTATCTCAGTGTCCTTACCTCTGAGCCAGGAGGCCTGGGTCCAAATCCCACCTGCTCCAAACGTGTATAATAACATCTCTGAACGGGCCGATTAAAAAGTATCCCAAGAGATATTTTCAATCAACCTGTTCAGACTTACCCCCCAGAGCAGGTGGGACTTGCACCCAAGTCTTCTGGCTCAAAGATAGAGACACTACCACTGCACCACAAGAACCCATAAAAATATCTACAGCTGGCTCAGTGATTTTCACCTGGTTATTTGTCTCGGGCTGCAGTCATTCCTAAGTCAGGTGTTTCAGGTCACGAATGCGTACTCTTAGATGTTTTCTCACTTCATTAGTCCAGACTCAAAACTACTATGCTTTCAGTATGGGATCTGCTCCACTGAAGGCTCGGATTTCCTCCGTCAGCGTTGGTACTCAGTTGTATCTATTGGTTCTGATCAAAGTTTGCCTTTTGGGCATCTCCAACCAAAAAAGTCTCCCACTGAGATAGCAAGAACTGCAGATGCTGGAGTCAGAGATAACAAAGTGTGGAGCTGGAGGAACACAGCAGGCCAGGCAGCATCAGAGGAACAGGAAAGCTGATGCTTTGGGTCGGGATCCTTCTTCTGGGTCCCGAACGAAATGTCAACTTTTCTGTTCTTCAAACTCGGGTCCCCAGAACATTAGCTGGGTTTCTGGATTAATAGTCTAGCAACAATACCACTAGGCCATTGCCTACTCCTATAACCTGAAGATTGTTGTATTTACCCTTTTAATTCCAAATTAAATGCTAATATGGACTCCACACATATATGATATGGATGATAGTGTAAGATAGGGGTGGAGGTTAGATAGAGCTTAGGTTCAGGGTAAAAGTTGGCACAACATCGTGGGCCGAAGGGCCTGTACTGTGCTGTACAGTTCTGTAGTCTATGTACGTAACTAGCAACCAGATCAAGCTAAATATCAGCAGAAGTTTGAAAACCGATCACTTGTCCACCCTTCTGAATTGGATACTGTAAGGGAAGAAATACCATTAACAAAGGATGAGAAGAGAAAATGCTTAAAATGTTTAGATTGAAAATTTACCTGTAAAGATCAGTTTTGAGATTTACCCAAACTTTCCTTGAGAATTCAGTCTCCCATGATTTAAATCTTACAATAGAACATTTTTCCATTTTTATTTGTATAAATCACTGTATTGAGACCTATCTTACAGAAAAGATCTACTCGGCAAGCAAGTGAAAGAACCAAAAATTGGAACAGAAATGTGGGTGTGACCACCGGTAAAAACAAGCATTCAGAAACAAAGTCTCCTGAAGATTCTTGCACCACTTCAGAAATCAATTCACATCAATATGGAGGCATTTCAGGCATGAGTCATATTGATAGTGTTTCCAAAGACTTGGATGATGGGCAGCTGGATCAAGAGGAAGAAACAACTCAGGTTACCTGCATATAACATTGCAGAATTCAGATCTGTATTGAAGACAACAGTTTAAAGAAAGCAGACTTTCCAGAGTATAATATGATTGATAATAGCTAATGGCTTTGCAAGATGTGATTTTTGTTTTTGTTCTGTATGAAAGTGTGCTCTTTTTTAAACATTTTCTATAATCCTACAGGGAATAAAAGTATTAACAAATATTTCAGTTCTCGGGATTTATGCAAACAGATCCAGGCTTCTTTAGCAAAGTAGAACTGTTGATTACAATTTGCTATCAGAAAGAGCTTCACCTGATGATTTAAAATTACGTTCAACAAATTTAGGAAAGCCATAGCAAAGCATATTTACAGATGTTTATATTTACTTTTAAATTCTCAAGTAATATTTTTGTTACTTTTTCTATTTGTATGTGCTAATTTTTAAAAATCATTTGTTACTTTTTTCCTGTCATTTTTCTTTGCATATTCTTGGGATCATGTTTTGCAATCAACTTGTTCAAGAATATGCTCATGCAAAACAGTGCTGTCTCTGCAAGATCGAAAGGAGTCATTTTTGAGGATTGTTCAGTCAAGGTAACGTTAGTTGTCCTGCTAAGTAATATATGTATGGCAATGAACTGTAGGAAAATATAACCATTACATCTGTTCCTTTGGCATCAGCTATTTTTATTCTTCATGGGATGTGGACTTCGGAGGCACTCCCTGCATTTATTGTCCATCCCTAATTAGCCTAGAGAAGATGGTGACATGTTGACTTCTTGAACTGCTACAGTATATGTGGTGAATGTCTTCTCATTGTTTTTTGGTAGAGAGTTCCAGGACAGTATTGAGAAAAGGGCAGTAAATTTACAGATGGTACTGTTCACAGGTCCTATTGCCTTTATCCTTCGAAATGGTTAAGGTCATAGTTTTGGAAAGTCTCAAAGTATCATTGAGGAGTTGCTGCAGTGTAACTACAAACATGATGTACACGTTATGAAGGCATTACCAATCACATTGGCTGCTTTGTCCCAGATGGAGCCGAACTGCTTGAACATTTTTGGAACTGCATTCATTTGGGAAGAGTAGAATATTTCATGGCATTCCTGATTTGTGCTTGATGGAAAGGGTATTTAAAGTCAACCAGAGAGTCAGTCTAGCAGCCATAGTATTTATGTGGCTGCTCCATTTTGGTTTCTGGCGAATGGTGACTCCCAAGTGGAATTTTGATGGTGACGATGCTAGTGAATCTCAAGGGTACGTAGTTAAGACTTCCTCTTGTTGATAATGGCCATTGCCTGGCACTTGTGTCCCACAGATGTTACTTTCCACTTAGCAGGCCGAGTGTAAATGTTGGCCAGGTCTTCCTGAACGCAGGCATGAATTGTTTCATTACGGAGGAGTTGCGAATGGAACTAAACACTGAAGCTAAACTTTTTGTTGGGATTGGTAACTTGTAATAATACACTGAAAGCTATTTAATGAGAATCAGTCTGACACTAGTGTCAATACTGAATTCTCTCAATTAACATTTATTTCTTCAGCTCATTAAGAGAATAAATTAAACTCATGATTGAAAGGAATGATGCCCTTTTGTGTCAACTTATGCACAGAGTACAGTTTAGTTTAAGGTACTCAACGTATCGTGCCCTCATTTTGGATTACAAAGGAACTTTTCACTCAGTTCCACACAATGTTTCTTCATCATAATCTAATTTTAAAAAAGAAATAGGATTCATTTCATTAGCCAGGACAATAATTTCAGTGTCACTTCTGGTATACCACATTGTTTAGTACCATGTCTAAACTAATTACGTGATACTTAAGTAGGAGCCATCCTCGTGTTGCGTTTCCACCAGTTAATTAACTTCTTAAAATAATGAATGAAAAGTGTTCTTAGATCAATCAGGGTTCTCAAACCTTTTTGCTTATGAAGGCCCCCTCCAATGCTATTAAAACAACTCACAGATTCCCTTTAATGCAAATATTTTTGTATAAAGATTAGTTCCAAATTATACATTTGAATTTATGAATTTTGTTTTAATTGATTAATGTGACTTTTTGCAGATTTGTCTTGGACCTCCCTCTGCTCTACCTCCTTCCATCTTCACCCACCATATATCTTTAGCTTCCTCCAGTCCCTTCAATCTGCAAGGTCTCTGCACCTCACCAATTTTGGCCTCTTGCACATGCTGGATTTTCAGCACTCTACCATGATTTCCATGACTTTGGCTAGTTAGTCCCAAAGCTCTGGAATTCCCTCTCTGATCCTATCCAACCCTTTTGCCTTTCTCTCTTCCCTTAAAGTGGTCCTTAATACCAACCATTTTGATTAATTCTTTTGTTACCTATACCAATATCTCCTTTCATGATTCGGTATTAAATTTTGTTTGATACCACTAATGTGTGCACCTTGGACATTTTGAAGGTGCTGTATAGATGCAAGTCATTGTTACTGAGGATATGAGTACTCCTGTGATTTCTGCGGACTTCGCAAGAGAAGATTTAGTTTTGTTACAGTAACTGTACTGTCCCAAATAGACAAAATGATCCATCTAAGATAACGATGAATCATTAGTTATTTTGTTAATGTATAAAGTTTCTCTGTAATTGACAATATTACAAAACCTACCGTAAGAAATGCCAGCCCCTCTTTTTGTTCCATTTGTTTCTGAAACTGAAACTTGTTCCTCAGCATATTACAAATTCGCTTGAATTTCTCCACGATTTTCCTGTTTTTAAAATCTTTCCCACTTGTTCCCTGAGATTACTGATTCTCACTGCTTTCTCTCTGTGTGAGATTTGGGTGACTAACTTCAAACTTTTACCAGCTCACAGATGGAGGGCTGGGATGCAGGTGTAGGGTCTGCTAACCACCAGGTAGCCATGTCTGGATAGCTCCCCAGTTAAACACTGTTCCTGGGAATAGCTATGTTTTTCCAATGGCCACCAGCTTAATGTGGATGGATCCCATGTAGCAGCTGGAACAAGGAGGCAGCTAAGCTACAGGCCCCGTGACTCAGAGGAGGCTGTGAGCTGTAAAGGCAGACCCTGCATCTCCCAACAAATCTCCCAGGTTGGTTTGCCTCCTGAGACACTTGAATTTTAAAATTTTTCATTCACTTGGAGGCTCAAGGTCTGTTGCTTCCATCAGCAGTGACTACTTCTCCTGATAACACTTCAGCATTGCCAGCTGTCAGCATCACAGCATCAGGAGCCTCCCTTCTGTTCATAATCAGATGAAAAACCCACTGATGGCTAATTAAGAGGCCACCTGTAGTAAAATTACCCAAACCAGTTCCACATCCATAAAGTACATGCTCATGCCCTGCAGTGCACTGACATTGTGGTGTTCTGAAGCATGTGGTAAAATTCAGCCCAAAGTTACTTGTAAATCTGACCAATCTGATCCTTAGGAGCACCTTAACAGAAGTCTGTTCCCACAACTTTGAATGACTAGGAGTTCTAGTAAATCATCTTCCCCAACAGTTCCTCAAGGGAATCCACTTCTGTCAGTCAGAGTGACAGACTATGTGACTAACATACTTCCGCTGGAAATCCTTAATGAGTTGGAAATTGGCCAGTGAAAGCAGCTGGAAGACAGGGTTTACGGCGATTATTTAAGTTGAAAGAAGCTCACATTCAGAACTAGCTTATTTGTTCTAATTTTTTTTCTAAATTTGCTCTCCTTCTGACAAGGTGATTTTTTTGATAGACCCCTTGAAACTTTCAGGCCTAACTGTCTATCTACCCCGACTGAGTCGTCTTCTTGGGAATATAGGTTGGCCACAGGCTGACTGTCAGTCGCTGTGCGGCAACTTTACATAAGGCCAGGCAGAAGACACAAAAATGGAGAAATTTACCATTATGTTCTGATGTAAGTATTTTTTTTTAAAAAAATTTGTAATGTTTGGAACACTCCTTGCAATCATTTTTAGTTGTTTTAGCTGTGTACTTATGTAGGTATGCAGAAAATGTTAATTAGCACTGTTAAATGGTTGTCAGGTTTTAGTTGTTACTCTTCAGAAATGAGGTTAAATGGGTCTTACAAATATTAGTGCCGATCAGTTTATTTGTTAAAAGACTGTAGAGGACGATAACAGATGTATTTGAAACATCTGATTGTGTGTTGTTTGTTTAGTGTTACAGAGGAAATCATGTACTAATACCATATAGTATAAATTACGGGTAGTTGAGAACAGGTGATAAGCTGGAGTTTGGTCTTAGCATTCAGATGATATGATCAAAACCTTGAAAATGAAATCACAGCCTGACATTATTTTGAATATATATACATTATGGTTTTAATGGAATTACAATAATATACTGCAGTATTTAGACTCAGTAATAATTCTGATATCATCACTACAGAGTGACATCCTCAAGCAATTGATTGGCAGAAGTATTCAATGGAAAAGTCACTTTGCAGTTGATGAACAAAATTATAATGTTATGACTGTAGTTATTAGGTCGATGTATTCTAAACATTAAGTGAAGACTTTTTAATTATTGTATGCTGTAGTACAGTGCTTAAGGTTGTATTATTTGCCCTGCTCTGGTATTTCTTAATGTAACTTGTTTTCCATGTTATAATTTTTATAATGTGTTCTGTTTGCATATTCAAAGCTGCAAAAATATAAATGTAATATGTCCAAGTAAATATTCTGACACTTCTTAAAATCTTCAGGTAGAAATAATAAAGAATAAAAATTAGAACTCTATAAAGTCATGTGAAACACTGCAATGACTAGGTACTACTCAATATACCTTTTACCATTATTACATGAGAAAAAACAGAAATCCACAAAATAACGCTGAATATGTACACGCTAACCTTGCTGAATAATTTCAAAATAGACAATTTATATTTTCATTCACACTGCGAGCATAAAAATAATACAACAGAGACTCAACTTCTGAAGTAAAAATCAAAAAATGCTGGAATCATGAGAGAGAGAAACAGAGTTAATTAGCAGAAGCTTTTAAGGGGCCTGAACAACTTAGGCTATGGTGAGATATGTAGCAGAAACTTGTATGAAGTCCTATAAGGCCTATCTCGACATCAACAACATCTCACTGTATCTTTTATGCATCTATGCATCATTTTATGCAAGAAGAGTTCCTTGACAGACAGTAGCAAGATGCCAATTAAGCGGCATTACAGCTTGTCAAACGCCTTATTAATGGCTGTCTTACCTGATTAATATTCAGTTTCCTATTTAAAAATTAAGACATCAAGAATTCTCGACATGGACAACAGAGCGCCACTGGCAGCGAATAGCCTCCATGTTGCTCAGCACCAACAGCATCTCAAGGCACGATCCACAGGGACTAACCAAACGCATCCCTTGTCCATGGACATTCGCATCCAACATTTGGCACTGTTACTCTGTGCATTTTTCCGAGCCACTTGCAGGAAACTCATGTGCACAAACCCACATTGCAGGGCGCCCTAGCAGCTTGGACTGAAAGGCTGCTGCAAGCAGACTTTGCGAAAATGAACAGGCATCCAACTCATTGATGCCTAGCTGCATGCATCCATACCTTGCATTGCCTTTCCTGTTAGCACTTTGGTGCATCAGCCAAAGCCGAAACCTGTGGGTGCTGCCATTTTATTTTGCACAAACAGGCTGCTTGACAT